GAGTTTTTCATCAGGCATGCAACTTAATTAATGATTTATGAAATTTGACAGATAGATAAATAAATAAATAAATAAATAAGTAAATAAAACGATAAATAAAAATATAGATAAATATATATTTATATATATATATATTTGTTACTGATAGATAGATAGGTAAAAAGGTAGATAGATAGATAGGTAAAAGGTAGACAGATAGATAACAGAAATATTATATAGATAGATAGATACATATCTGCACGACTTGGACCCCATATTTCCACCTTGAAATGATAACGAACATGATTTATTGATTCATAATTTTATCATTGTCACATTGTTGTGCAACAAAATGGTAACTTGCTTTATTTCTCTGATTTGTTGTCGACAATTAGTCTTTTATTTCCGGTCTAAGTTGTCTCATTTTACTCATTGTTTTTCAAATATTTCCGACGGGATTTTTGTTTAATATCTACTAATTATTGCATTGATTGTACTTTACTAAAGCTAGAGTACAGAGGCAAAATTTAAAGAATTTGACCCGTGATTCAAGCATGAGACGCGGTTCAAATATGGTTTGTTCAACTTGAAATTTTAATCAGTTTTTCTAGATTTGATTCAGCGCGCAATTTGAACCGGTGATCAGCAGTTCAGCGCGCAACGCGGTTCAAATTCTTTAAATTCGGCCTTATTACTCCTTTAATTTAAAAAAAGATTAAAGTTTAGAAGTAAAATAATCAGAATTTTTTTCTTAAATTAATAATTTTTATTTCTTTCCCAACAAATATAAAGTTTAAAATTTTTTAGTTAATTGTGAAAAAAAAAGTTTTATTAAAACTTTCATCAATTATTTAAAAAGATGAAAAATATATTTCAGAAACTTTAAAATTAGTTTTTATATCATTTTCAATTGTGAAAGTTATAAGAAGGGGGGGGATAAAATAATAGGTTTAGGAGTAGCTGTTTGTACTAATCCTCAAGCTTATTTTCGAATTTTAGTTTCGAGAAAACTGAATATTTTCATGCTTGAGTTTTCAAAGTTCTTTACAGGCATTCACATTCTTTACTTTCTCTGTATTAAAACTAAGTATTGACTATTCGTGTTTCAAAATTTTTCAGTTTAACATTTATTTATAGTTTAACTCTTACACCTCTAGTCTTTTGTTTTGTTTTGATGCAAATAGGTTCTCATTTAATAGGTTCTCATTTAAGAGAAAGAAAACAGGCAAAATATCTATCTTAATAAATTGAAATGTGTGATAAGTTAAACATCAAAGTAAAAGTCCTTAATCATTAACTTTTACACTTATTGATTTTTTCAGGCCAAAAAATGTTTTGCATGCGCCACCTTCTTCTATATATAAATTTGGCTTGTCTGTCTGTCTGTTTGTTTGTCTGTTTGTATCCAATAAACGTCAAAACGGCTGAAACGATCGGGCCCAAATTTTTTGTGGGACATCTAGGGACCCCAGAGAAGGTTTATGAATGATTGAAATTTTAAAAATTTGTGTTCTAAAGGTTTTTAATTTTGTAAAAAAATTTAAATTTTTGAAAATCCGCGAATTTTTTTTTTTAAATCCGCAGAATTTTTTTCTTCTTTGTTTTAAACAGCGTGTACTGACCCGATCCTATGGTACATACGTCGCCCTAACCAGACTAACATACGACAGGGGTCAATTTTCTCGGCATAGTCCCGTCGGAGGGCTAACTATGAGAACTCCCATGGCGCGTTCAGACTATTTACAGTACCCGGCCTAATCCTAGGCCTATTTGACCGACCCCACTGGCGTAGTCCACCATGGCATGAGGTTCCAAAGATATAAAACATAATCTCTCTAAAAAGGTTCTTCTAGTGCACTGTCCTGTTTTGTCGTATAAGTCTGATTTATGAACAGCATAAAAAAGTCTGGTACTTTAAATGAATGAATGTTTTCAGAGATAAGGTGTGATTAAAAATTTAGTGTTTAAGGAAAGTGATAAATTCGTTTCGTTCAGTTGAGTTCAGGGTTCGCTTCAGCTTAATTTTTTTTTTCGTCGCTACATTGTTTCACAAGATAGATGACTTGTTTTTTTGTTACAAGGCTATTAGGGCGCTTCGCGCCCATCTTCTATTTCAATATTTAATTTAATATTTATCTGTGAGCATCTTCTCTTTGTAAGTTTGGACAGGTATAAAATAAAATGAAAATAAAAAGTTTTTGCATTTCATAATATTTTTTCGCCCATTTTCAATATTTTATAAAAATAAAAAATTTGGGCCCGATCGGTTCGAACGTTTTGACGTTTATTGGATACAAACAAAGGATATTTATATGATGCAGTTTTTATAATATTAAAAAAGAAGAAATTTTCATTGACAGTCTATCTCAATTTAGAAATTATTTTTCGAATAAAGTTTTTGATTTAATTTTTCGTCATTCAACAGGACACCTAATTTAACGTAGGAGTGTGTTGGGGGGGGGGGGANCCCCCCCCCCCTCCTTGTTTTCCTGAGCAATGTTTAATGCATGCCACTAGCTAAAAAGTCCATTTCCTGGCCTGCTGCCTGCTGGCCAGTAATAAGTGTGATATATGTTTGCGCAGACACAATCCGTGTTCTGAATTCAAATCCTTTTCCATTTATATTTAATGAAAATATGGTTCCGGGATTCTTGTTCAATATGTTTTACTAACAAATTTAGAGTGCTCCGTCCATATTTTTCTTGTTTATATTCAAAGAATATGGTCCCGTAATTCCTAAAACTGTTCAATATGTTTTACAAACAAATTTAGAGTACTTCGTCCCGATTTTTTAAATTTCCCATTTTCTTCTTACTTAAATGTAATTTAATAATCAGCATAACTCAAACTCGAACTCGAATATTTTGTGGCATTTCTTTGTATTTTTTTACAAAAAAAAATTATTTATTGGAATAACTTATGAACCGGAATCCTATACATTGAAAAACGTTAACAAAAATAGCAATACACAATAATGTATAAAGATAAATTAATGTGAATCGTTTGACAAATTTTTTGTAAATTAACAAAGTGGAAACAGTTTTAAAATCATCCTTTTTTATGAAAGAAATTAAATATTATTAGACTATGTTAAACATTCAAGACTTTTTGCCGAAGAAATTTTAAAGGAAATACCCCACTTATTTTACGAAGTGTCTACTTCATAAATACAAACGGAAATGGATCATTAATAAGTATTTTATAAAGTTTTTATTACGTAACTTCGAGTACTGAACCAGAAAATACTGGATTAAATAGTAGTTTTATTTTCCCTTTTAAAACCGTCACACAGTGAAGCATTGAGATTATATTAAAGTCAATATTTCAAGTTAGCATGAGAACCACATTTGTAGATTTCAATAATAATAATACGCAAATTTTTTAAATAAATTTACTGAAACTATTTTATCGTTCTTTGAGTGATAAGATGGGATTAGAGTTATGGCGCAAAACATAGGAAAAACATGGTTTTTTAAACAAACATTTTTAGTTTGGAAACCCAATTTTGCCGAGAAACTAACCTAAACTAGATAAAAGTCAAGGCCCGCTAAGCTTAGAATTTTTAAACCAGGTTAAAAGCATTCCCGTGATTCATCCGAGTTATCGGGTTTCAGAGTTATGATCTATATATGATATAATATTTAAGATACTATATACTAATAAACCAATGCGGTTTTTAAAGCTTCTGTAAACATATTGGCTTAGTCCACCGTGAAACGACCCTTCCTGCAAAGATATCAATGTCAGTTTAAAACGGGTACCTTTAAGCTTTGCCTTTGTGCGTCTGATCAAGTATGAATTAGATAGCAATGTTTAAAATTTTGAAACTGGATTATTTTTAAATGTGGTTTCTCGACTAAAGTGACTTGCGCATTTCTACCACAGGAAAACATATAGGAATCATCAGAATTAAATACTTTAACTCGAAGAAAAACGACAATATCTTCAAAATTATTTATCAAATAAAGGTTTTAAGGGTACAGTTGTGAATCAGGCATCATTGCTAGCATTTCATGGCGGGTCACTTACGCTTACAGTCCTTTTTAATCAACATGCCCTTATCTAACCATATTTTTTGCTACCTTTTTGCTCACAGATTTGCAAACTTCTTACTTAGATTTGTTCACTTTTTGTTAGCAGATTTTCACACTTTGTACCAGCAGATTTGCTCACTGCAGTGCAAAAGTATTCACGGTTCTTGCCCCGCAAACAATATGGTTCGATTCTTGTCAAGCCTTAGAAAACACCTTTCTATCTATCTATCTATCTATCTATCTATCTATCTAGTAGTTATTTATCTATATATCTATCTATCTACCTATCTATCATCTCATCTATCTATCTTTCCATTTTTATATCTATTTTTATAACAATCTTTCAACTACTTTTTCATTTAGAATTCAGCAATAAAACGTATAATCTGAGAATGAAAGCCCTGTAAACTTAGCTTTTGGTGCGTACTGTATGTAGTGACTTGCAGTACACTGACCCAATAAGTGGGACTCGGTGGAGAACGTAATATGAAGATTAAGAGAATATCTGAACTTGCAAAACCTGTCCGAAGGAAGATTTTTGCAAACAAAACTTGTGATAATTCGTGGAAGGGCGTTTACCGTAACTTTCTGCAAATAATTTGCACAAGGCTGAATGCAATTTATGGATTTTATTTCTTATTTTGTCGTGTTTTTTTTTCTCGATCTAACATTTTTCAAATGTAATATTCTTACATAAGATGAGTTTCAAGGTACTGTCGTTCTGATTTTAGATGANCCCCCTATTCAAAAACAAGCATGCCCGACCCACAATGGTACTTTTTAACCATCATCTGATCAATAATGTAAAAGAACTTTTGGTTTTTCTTTGCTTGAAAGTGTATCATTCACTATTGAAGAAAAACCACAATTGAAATTAATCAGTTTAAAGAATCGAAAACATGGATATCTAACTCCCTTCAAGAGAAAAATCTTACTTTCTAGTTCTATCGTGTTCAGGTTCTCCATATTTTGTGTTCTCTCCTTTTTCCGTCTCAGCTGTATCCAGATCCTGGATATCCAGATCCTCTTCTCCTCCTTTTCATTTATTCATTTATTCATTTATTCATTTATTCATTTATTCATTTATTCATTTATTCATTTATTCATTTATTCATTTATTCATTTATTCATTCATTCATTTATTCAATTATTCATTTATTCATTTATTCATTTATTCAATTATTCATTTATTCATTTATTCATTTGTTCATTTATTCATTTATTCATTTATTCATTTACTCATTTATTCATTTATTCATTTATTCATTTATTCAATTATTCATTCATTCATTTACTCATTTATTCATCCTTTATGCATACATTTATGTTTCTTAATACATACATTAATTCATTTTTTACTAATATATTCATGTTTAGTTCATCCTATCATCCATTATTCAACCATATTTATTTACCCATTCAGTCTTTATTCATCCTTTCAGCCTTTATTCATTTATTCGTCCTTTATTCATCATTATTTAATTATTCATTTCTTCACCAATTCATTTATATCTCTTTCAATAATTCATTATTTAGTCATTATATTAATGAATAAATGAATAAATGAATAATTGAATAAATGAATAAATGAATAAATGAATAAATGAATAAATGAATAAATGAATAAATGAATAAATGAATAAATGAATAAATGAATAAATGAACAAATGAACAAATGAATAAATGAATAAATGAATAAATGAATAATTGAAAGGATGAAAGGATGAAAGGATGAATAAATGAATAAATGAATAAATGAATATGTGTAAGCATAAAAAGGATGAAAGGATGTATGCATATAGAAAGGATGAATGTACGTATACAGAATGAATGAATGTATATATATATATAGAATGAAAGGATGTATATATAAAGAATGATGAATACCTTAGTAGGAGCTACACTTGCTCCACTCCCTTCTTTAAACCTGACTCTTCTGCTCTTCTTTTTATTCTCCCTGTTCAGAACCAGACCTTGAGTTATCTTCAAACCCATCCTTGGGTTGGAGCTTAATAATTTTGGGGACAGGATAGAAAGCCTTTTTAAAAGTTAAAAATCTAAGTTCTTTTGTGACATTTAGTCAAGGCAAATCAATGTATAATTGCTTAAGCATAAAAGATATGACAGGTAATAAGTTTAGTGGAAAAAATAATTTTTTTTTAAAGAAACTTTTAAAACATTTTTAGATTTAAAAGTTTTTAATGGCCGCATTTCACAAAGATCCGGCCAATCATGACCGGCCATAATTAGCCGGATATCCAGCGGCCCGGCATATGTCAATGCAAGGTATCAAATGAGAGAACTAAGTGACCGGCCCGGCATATGTGACGGAAGGTATCAAATAAGAGGACTAAGTGACCGGCCCGGCATATCTCGATGCAAGGTATCAAATAAGAGAACAAAGTCAAAAAGAGGACTAAGTGACCAGCCCGGCACATGTAACTGAAGGTATCAAATAGGAGGACAGCATGACCAGGCCAGCATATCTGACGGAAGGTATCAAATAAGAGGACAGCATGACCAGGCCGGCATATGTGACGGAAGGTATCAAATAAGAGGACAGCATGACCGGCCCGGCATATGTGACGGAAGGTATCAAATAAGAGGACAGCATGACCGGTCCGGCATATGTGACGGAAGGTATCAAATATGAGGACAGCATGACCGGCCCGGCATATGTGACGGAAGGTATCAAATATAAGAACAGCATAACCGGCCTTGCATATGTGACAGAAGGTATCAACTATGAGGACAGTATGACCGGCCCGGCATATGTGACTGAAGGTCTATGTTTCCTAGTAGTTGCTCTCCGTGTGGAGGCTCTTCTCCATCTTTCTATCCAGCCTCCACCCATCACTTAGTATAGAGGCTGTTGCTTACTCATCCCTAACCATCCATGCATATTAGAAAAAAGGAAGAAAATGGCCAAAATTTGTATAATTAAAAAATAAAATCCTCCGTCGTAAAACAGTTAATGGCTAAAAATTAATTGTGAATCATTTATGGAAACCTTTGATTTAAGGATCACTCATAAAAGCAAGGCAGAATTGTAAGATTTATTTTGCGGGTGTTATCGATTTAAAAACTTTTTTTGGTACCGGGGGGGATGCGGGAAATTTGTACAATAAGTTTTGGTACAAAATAAGTTGGCATGTATTCATTTTTTTAGTCTTGTTTTTTTTTAAATAGTTTCCTGCACCTTGTTTCTTTCGTTCCAAAATAATCTATTTTAGGTGGCAATTCAATTTTTGGAAACCCCTGTTGATCTTTTTTTTCGTGTTCGAGGATTTGAAAGTTGCAAAATCGTCCCAAAACAGTTCATGGTACGGGCAGCCGTAGTACATTTGAATTTCCGTGCCGGGTAAACCTTTCCGGTCCCAGTTTTATTCTGTACCAACCTTTATGGACAGGACTAGCCGGTACAACAAGGTTGACGCGGTCAGACTTTATGCTTCATATAGGTTGAATTTACTTTTACTAAAGGGGCAGATTTGCGTCAATAGAGTAAAAAAAATTTGACAAATTCGGTCCGATTTTATTTTGATTTCCGGATAATTTTTAAGAATATTATTATTTTAACTCACTACAGTCTTAAAAAAAACAGGTTTATTTTGTAGCTGAACTAGGAGTGGTTCAGTCTGGTTTTTAACATTTTAATACTTTTGGTAAATATAGTTAATTTTCTTGCTAGATAACATAGTGGTTTATGGCTGATTAGTATAAAAAAGAAACTTTGTAATATAAATAATATCCCTAAAACCTTGAACGAAACAATTTATAGCGAATATTATACCGGGTGATGTTGAGAACGATTCAGGATTTGTATAAAATTAAGGATTGGAGAACAGAACAATAATAAAAGAAGGAGGAGGAGGGGGGGAAGGGGGGAGGGGAGATTTTTGTTTTAAAAAAATGAAATTGTGGAAAATTGTGGAAAATGTGGATAAAGGCTAAAGTTAAGACAACTGCAAGGTTAAAGATTGATTTAAGAAAAAAATGTAACCCCTCCTCCCCCTTGGAAAAATTCCTGAATACGCCTTTCCAATTAACAGGTTATGTGCTAAAGCTATTTGTTTTTTAATTAAGACCATCCAAAGGAAATAAGATTGCCTTAAGAAACTTCAAATCCCACAGTTTTATAGTTTAGTTTAGTTTTTAGTTGGAAAGTTAATAAAATCTTGGTTATTCTAATTCTAAGTTTTAACTCCTTGTTTTCGGTAATCTTTAAATGTTAGTTTTTTATATTGCGAAAAATCATAATCTAATTCGACAAAATTCCTGGCATTTTAGCACGTTGTAAAAATTTTAAATATTGTGTTAAACAGAAAATTTTCAGATATTACAGATTTTTTACATTTTAAAACGAAACAGAGGCAAAACCAGATTTTGTAAATCCAAACATTTGGAAACTTTTTTGAAATAACTCCTTGATTGAAACATCTTTTCTGTTATTACAGATCTCATTTCAAGAATAAAACAGGAGACTATTTACAAAATTTAACAGAAAGAGAATGTAAAATAAATTTCAACTGATTTCCTATTTCTAGGGTGGCACGTCCGATTGAAAGGCCTGACAAAGGCGGTCTTATAGATCACGGGAATAGAAGGTCTCTTGAAATTAAATATACAGTCCCTTTAAAAGATACCTGGTGTCCCCCCCCCTTTATCAAAAATTCACCCAAGTCTTTCCAGGGTTTGCATTTATATTGCACACGAAAGAAATAGTCTACAAGAGACAGGGGCGTATACAGGATTTTTCCTTGGGGCGGGGAAACAGTTTTGAACCAATAATATTTGATTTATGTATCGGTTATGTATAATAAACAGTTTTGAACCAATTTCAAAGTTAAAAGAGAACTTTATTCATCAAGAGCAAAAAAGATTATTTTTATCGGACAACATCACAGGAGAGGTTTTCATGGTTGCATGAAGAAATGTTAAAACTTTTTTGTATTATTCAACGGTTTTATTTCTTTTTTTTAAATTGCGCCTCGAATGCGGAATTTTTCTGGAGAATTTATGATGAAAGCAATTTTTAATATATTTAATATTTTTTTTGTATTTAGTCCAACAATTATATTCTATACAAGTGTTCCCTGTATTATGGTGTGACGTTTTATGTCCTATTTTTAAAAATTACAAAAAAACTTGTTTCATTTGTACATTTTTTGTAAAAGAAAAGGTTCACAAAATTTCTTTCTATCAAACCCTTTTGATTAATTCATTTATATTCATTTATATGTTGTCTTGTTTGTTATGGTTTGTTTATTTGTTTGTTTGTATCCAATAAACGCCAAAACGGCTGAACCTATTTTGGTACAGTTTTTGCATGGGTCGATATTTAAAAAAATCTGCCGGAAAAAAATTAAAAATTTTTTTAGAAGCGCTCTGAAAACCTTGTAAAGTAAAATTTGTTCACCTTTTGTCCTAAAGAAATAGAAGTGTACGTTACCTTACAAATGTTATGTACTATTTTAGTTTTTAAAAAAAGATTGATTAATAATTTAGTTGTCCTGAACAAAGGAAGCAGTTAGCCTAAACTAAAACCTCTTATCAGTATGAAGGCGGTATATAATTAACAGGGGTGTATTCAGGTGGGGGCTAAGCCCCCCCCTGGACCAGTGAAATATTTTGATTTCATGGGGTTTTCAGGCCCCAAAGGGTGCTGAGCCCCCCCTGGAAAGAAAAAAAATGTAAGCCCCCCCCTCCCCCAAACAAATTCCTGAATACGTTCCTGACAATTAACACTATGCAAACGGGAAAAGGAGGAATATGTAAACTAATAATCGATCAACAGTTGGAAAACATTTTTTTTATAATTTCAGTTGACCATACATTGATATTTACTTTGGTACCCTTACAACCTTTAGCTAACAATAATGTAAAAACTAACATCGTTTTTCTTGTTTGAAAAGTGTTGAATTTAGATAAATTTTACATTGTTTTCTGCAGAAGAATTGCGCAAGTGACTTTTTCAGAGAAACCACAAATGAAAATAATAGTTTTTGAAATTATAAACATGAATATCTAAAACATACTTGATCAGACAAAGTTTTAGTGTTATAAAATTTATTTTATCATAACCAGTTAAAAATAAAAAAATGAAACATATCTTTATAATAAAACAAGACATTCGTATATATATATGTTGCGTATAGCCGGCCAAACGGCTGGACAGATTGGGCTGAAATTTTTTGTGGACACTCATGGGTGGTCGGGGGGTGTTATAGGCTAAACAAAATCGAAAATATTTTTTCTCAATTTTTTTATAAATATTTAATTTCAAATATTATTTTTTCCACGGACAACGCCGGGCTCTCAGCTAGTAATTGATATTTTTTTTAAACGAAATGTAAAGTTCTTCGTATAACCATACATTGTAAAAATAAGCGAGGAATTAATTTTAGAGTGCAGAAACATGTCTAAGGGATGATGACATATTTCTGTTTTAACAAAGATTGTATTTTCTGAAAGTAGCCTGTATAGCATAAAAGATAAGGCCTACACCGTAGCGCGGGGGAAAGATAAGGAATTATACAGAAAAAAAAGTACAAAATTATGTTAGAAACATGCAGAAGGATGAAGGGGGGGGGGTCATGATAATAAGCGATTGTATTGGCTCTTTGTTTATAGGTTTACGAGAAATATCTGACGCTTCTTGTTTGAAAAAAAACTTCTAATTTATATTGCTTCTAGAAATTCTTCATTCCCTGTTTTCCGTTTAAAAAAACAAAACAATTAATTTGACGATAAAAATGTAATAACTAAATTAATTTGCTAGTATTGTCCACGGTTTGTGTGTTCTTAAAAAAATGCAATGCAAAGTGCACTAGGACAATTTTTTACGTGCTTAGAATTTCATGTAAATGCAACTTTACGGTCGTGATTTTAAAGAGGCTCCTAACTTGATTCTTTTGCAACTTTTTAGAGTGCCATCATCGATGCACAAGTGTACCCTAAAT